TATAGTTCCATCACTTTGGAACCAAGTAACCTTGGGCAGGTCACTCAAGCCCGGTCACTCAAACCAGGTTCCCTTGGTTTTTTCATCTATGAAATGGGTTGTTGAGAAGCTCTAAAGATAGAATGTAGAATAAAAGAGTTCACTAACTCGAAGGCACTATATAAATGTTGCTTGTTAGTTTCCTGGTGAACTACTCTCCTCCAGATACCTCTGATCCTTAATGTGGTCCAACTTTTCGGATGGGATCTTAGTCATTTATTGATAATGATGATTATAATCACAGCTGACATTTACTGAATGCCTATTCTACATACATTATCCCATCTCCTTCACTTAATCTCTCTGAGATTTCCTCATCTGTAAAATGGGACTAATACTAATATCTACTTGTGACACAGGTGAGGATTAAATAAACCAATTTAGCATAACGTCTAACACATTTAATAAGCACTCAACAATTGATCGAATCATGAACATTATATTATCCTATTTAATTCTCACTGCCCTATGAAGTAAGTAGTAATATTATCCTTATTTGACAGAAGAAGCGTTTGGGATTCAGATAAGTGACTGTCTTAGGTCACCCAAATAATGATTTGCAGAATCAGGATTCAATCTGAAGCCAGTCCACTGTGGACCTCTTAGTGGGATCATCTGTGTCATGTGACCACACCAAAGATATAAGTTAGTAATTTTGGTACCCAGGAAAATTCAGTTCAAGTCAGCAGCCATTTGGTGTTTGTTATTTACCAGGTGCTACTACTGCTGCTGTGGGTGAAGGCAAAGACACAAGACACACGAGTTCATAGTGTTAATTCCCAATATTAACCACTAGTCCTACTTTTCCCTGGTATAACCTCCCTGGTCTTCCCCTTTGCTCGGCCCCATTCTTAGGGATTAGGTGACTCCATTTGACCTCTACCTGCCCTCCCTCGGATGGGCCTCAGAGCCGACCTATTGCTTAGCTCTTCTGAGTCATGATTGTCAGAAGTCTTTGTAGGCTAATGCTACCTTCCTTTATCATTTGTCACGTAAGTGGCCACATATTACACAGGTGCACATTGTTGGTTTTACTCACACATATAGGTGCTGGGCATATTATTTGTTATCAGAGCAAAGCCTGTTCCATCCTTATACTGAAAGTCCCCTGAGAGCAGGGACCAAATCTCTTCCTCTATTTGTAATCCCTTCTCTCCCACCAGAGGAAACAATGTTTACACCTAGCACCCAACTGAAGAAGGAAGTGGTGTAGCCTCCCTAAGCTGTAGAAGATGCCAGTAGGAGAGCAGGCAGGATTCCAAATGGGTGGGTGAAGCCAGAGGCTCCTAAGAACACCAAAGGAAGGCTAAGTATAGTGTCCATTTGAGTAACACCTTTTGCTTTTCAAATTAATCTTGTATTTTTTCATAAGCATGGCCCTCTACTAAGCTATCCCTGTTCTCAAGGTCCATGCAGATAGGGGCCTGACTTATTTTTGATAGTGGTGGAACTTAATATAGAGGTTACATAGCTGTGAGAGGCCAGTGGGAATAGTATAACCAGATTTTATTCTCATTTGCCCTTCAGACCAAGCCAGTGGAGGGAGCATTGACTGGTCTTATGACTCTGGAATCAAATAATCATTTGAATTTGAACTGGGAGACACAGATCGATATGAGTTCCTTCTGCTGGCCAATCAGATCTTACCCACAGTGAAAGAGACCTGGTTTGGCTTGAAGACAGTCATGGAGCATGTGTGAGACCACCCCTATTAAGGCTCTTGGGAATAAACATCATTAAAAGCTCTTTGGTTTGAAGCAAAGTTGGGCTGTGATTATTTATTTATTTTTTAAAATAAATTTATTATTTATTTATTTGTTTATTTTGTCTGCATTGGGTCTTTGGTGCTGTGCGTGGGCTTTCTCTAGCTGCAGTGAGTGGGGGCTGCTCTTTGTTGTGGTGCGTGGGCTTCTCATTGCAGTGGCTTCTCTTGTTGCGGAGCACGGGCTCTAGGCTCACGGGCTTCAGTAGTTGTGGCACGCAGGCTCAGTAGTTGTGGCTCACAGGCTCTAGAGCACAGGCTCAGTAGTTGTGTTGCATGGGCTTAGTTGCTCCGCAGCATGTGGGATCTTCCCGGACCAGGGCTCAAACCTGTGTCCCCTGCATTGGCAGGCGGATTCTTAACCACTGCACCACCAGGGAAGCTCCTGCATTGTGATTATTCCTTTTTCTTTTCTTTTTTTTTTTTTTAAAGATTTGTAATTTTTTTCCTTAAACTTATTTATTTTATTTATTTATTTTTGGCTGCATTGGGTTTTCGTTGCTGCGCGTGGGCTTTCTCGAGTTGCGGCGAGCAGGGGCTACTCTTCATTGCGGTGCACGGGCTTCTCATTGAGGTGGCTTCCCTTGTCGTGGAGCACGGGCTCTAGGTGCGCAGGCTTCAGTAGTTGTGGCTCACGGACTCTAGAGCGCAGCATCAGTAGTTGTGACGCACAGACTTAGTTGCTCTGCGGCATGTGAGATCTTCCCGGACCAGGGCTCGAACCCGTGTACCCTGCATTGGCAGGTGGCTTCTTAACCACTGAGCCACCAGGGAAGCCCCTGATTATTCCTTTTTCTAATCCTGATATAGGAGCATTATATCTTTGATTTATGTTGCCCTTAAACACAGCAACACTGAGCTGTACCCCTTTATCTTTTAATCCCATTTTAAGCAAAATGCTACCAACATCCTTTAAAAATTAAAAACAAAATTGTCGTGAAATATACATACCATAAAACGATTTTAACCATTTTGAGTGTACAATTCAGTGGCACTAAGTACATTCACAGTGTTGTGCAGTCATCACCATCCATCTCCAGAAATTTTCCACCGTCCCAAACTGAAACTCTGTACCCCTTAAGCAATAAGTCCCTGTTCTCCCTCTTTCTAGCCCATGGTAATTCTGTGCTCTTTCTGTCTCTATGAATTTGCCTGTTCTAGGTACCATATATAAATGGAATCATATAGTATTTGTCCTTTTGTGACTGGCTTATTTCACTTAGCAAATGTTTTCGAGATTCACCCATGTTGTGGCATGTGTCAGTTCGTTCATCTTAATAGAGTAGCATCTTAGAGCTAGAAGGGGACTTTCGTGTTTATTTATTCAGTAAATACTAATTAAGCAACTGCATTGTGCTAAGTATCATGCTAGGTGCTGTATCCTCTGGTTGCATGTTACCTTCTGCTTTTCTGTTTCTGGTATGCTGCATCAGAAAAACTAGTGGAGATGCAAACCAATGACGCTCCTTCCTCCAGGCTGCCCCATCAAGTCTGGGTCTCAGATTCCATACAATTTCTCTTTAGACATTGGCTTCCATTAGAGATTTATATTTTCTTCATGTTGATGGCTTTTCCCTCAAGAAAAGGGTGGGAAGTGAATTTCAGCTTGCCTAGAATTCTGGGTACTTGATTCTTTAGTTCACATTTCTTGCAGATTCAGGTCTCAGCTTCTCTTTTTACTAATTTCAAAGCTGAAATCTATCATAGTGAAGTACAGCCCAGCCCACCAAAGGCTGGTGAAAGGATGGTATGGTACCCTACTAGAAGACTGGGGGGGATGGAGTCAAGATGGCAGTGTGGGAAGACACGGAGTACATTTCTCCCCACAACTAGGGCACCTGCCAGACACTGGTGGGGGACCTTGATGCCCAAGAAGACCAAGGTGGGCCTAGGAGTTCACTTCCAGTGTTGGAAGGACAAAAGAGCCCCGATAGAGGCCCCCAGCTCCACAACTCCTGACAAAGACTCTTCTTGACCAAACCTTGGACAGGCTTCCCTGAACTCTCTTTTCTACTAGCCTTGTCCTTGGGCCCTAAGTCAGTCTTAGCAAAGACTCCTGCTAAGTAATCCCCCAATCCTTGACATCTGATTGAGTTGCTCATCCTCCACCATTGATGTCTAAGTCCTTGGCCTGCCTTTAGCAATAATTTGTTAGGTCAGTTAAGCAAGAATCCCCCCTACCCTGATGTCTCCTCTTAACAGTTTTCCATCCACTGATCCCCTTGCTCTGCTATCTTTACGTATTTGAAGTTGAACACAATTACTCTCTCCTATTGTATCTTGAATAAAGTCTTCCTTACAGTTGTAACAAGTGTCAGAATAACATCTCTTTAACACTCTCAACCATGACCCTTGGTTGAATCTACTCCCCTTGAGAAAGTGCAGAAAGTATGAAGATGGTGGGGGACAGTAGGGTGGGAGAGGCTTGTGGGATTTGGGGCACCTAGGACAGACTGAAAGGCCCCAGAGTCCTTGAAGAAGTCATGGAGGTCATGAGTGTCTTCCATTTGTTCTGCTGTGACTTGGTGGAAAGGACACCAGACTCAGAATCTAGTAAATGCAAGAAAGTCTTATTATTAATAATACCATTAAACCTTACCTTTAGCTCAGATTTCAAGGAAAACTGATAATTTATTCAGACAAACACATTCCTCCTGTACCACTTACCTCATATATTTCTGCCTTTTTAGTGGAGTCATAAGAATTAGGTGTCAGATTCATAACAGAAGCCACAAACTTTCATCATGATCTGCTGTCACCAGAGAAGGGCTTGTCAAGTGTGTTAAGTGTGTGGTCTTGGAGCTGGCTTGGGGTTTCTTTGATAGTCTTTATTTATTTATTTTTACTCTAGAGGTAACTTCATCTCAGGTTTATAATCTGGCCTCCTCTATCAGTATAAATTCTATCCAGCACTATGGGACTTGCGTATTTACCCAAAAGACACTATTTAAATACCAAGTGATGAGCATTATAGCACCCTTAGCACAGACTTTTCCAGCCTGAGGAGCAAGTTCCTGACCTTGTAAATCAAGAGGCTTGGCTTTTATCACTCAAAAGGAATGAAAGAGGCATCTGATGTACTGTCAGAGTTTCAAGGGTGCTTGGGAGTCATATTAGCATTTTTGAGGACATGAGACTGCCTCAGACTCCTTATAAATACAGCTTGACTCAGCCACTCTATGACTGACACCCTTGGGACATGAAGTGGATACTGTTCTTTGGGGACCTTATTGGGTCCAGCATCTGTGGCCAAGAAAAGTTTTTTGGGTAAGTTCCTTTTGGACTTACTATTACTTGGTTAGTTCAGAGATATGGGAACCAAATGGATTTGGAAATGAATGGCTGATTATACCTCAAGTGGTACGGTGCCGGACTCCTGTCCCAGCTTTGCCCCTGTGTCATCCTGGGTCAATTACTTCTCTCTCAGGCTCAGCTTTATCTGTGATATCAGGACTAGGTGGTCTCCACAGTCCCTCCCCAGCTCCCTAATTCCTGCCAATACTTTTCCTTCCTAGTTCTTATTTGTAAGGTCAGTTTCAGGCATTTCTACTTTCTTACTCCTATATTATGAATTACTAAGAATTACCAGAAATTGTTTCAATTTCTGCCATGCTTAAGGGAAAACCTGGGTCATAGGCTTTTTGGCTTCACTTCTCTGTTAATGGTTAAGGTTTGGTGGAGCTTTCTCGTCAGCATTTGGCATATGGAGATTTGATAGGTCTTGCCTAGCTGAAACTATGAAAAGTGACAGGCAAGGATACACCTGTACATTCTGTGTGTGTGTGTGCATGTGTATGCACACACATGCACACGTGCTCCACACAGAATTCCTTGAGGTTTGCAAAGGAGAGGACATTTGGGAGGTAGGAGAGGTGAAAGGATGGTATGGTACCCTACTAGAAGATTGGGGGGGATGGAGTCAAGATGGCAGTGTGGGAAGACACGGAGTACATTTCTCCCCACAACTAGGGCACCTGCCAGACACTGGTGGGGGACCTTGATGCCCAAGAAGACAGGAGGAACCCCCAAACGAATGGCTGGGGGTTGGGCCGAAGCTCCTGCAGTGGGAGCTCCAAGTCTGAACCACTGGACTAACAGAGAACCTCAGATCCCAGGGAATATTCATTGGAGTGAGGTCTCCCAGAGGTCCTCGTGTCAGCATCAAGACCCAGCTCTACCCAACAGCCTACAAACTCCAGTGTTGGAAACCTGAGGCCAAACAGCCAGTAAGACAGGAACACAATCCCACTCAACAACAACAACAACAACAAAAGAGACAGCAAAAGAATAAGTCACAGATGAAGGAGCAAGGTAAAATCCTGCAAGACCAAATAAATGAAGAGGAAATTGGCACTCTACCTGAAAAAGAATTCATAGTAATGATAGTAAGGATGATCCAGAATCTCGGAAATAGAATGGAGGCACGCATTGAGAAAATACAAGAAATGTTTAACAAAGACCTAGAAGAACTAAGAACAAACAAACAGAGATGAACAACACAGTAACTGAAATGAAAAATACACTAGAAGGAATCAATAACAGAATAACTGAGGCAGAAGAACAAATAAGTGAGCTGGAAGACAAAATGGTGGAAATAACTGCTGAGGAGCAGAATAAAGAAAAAAAAAAGAATTGAAGACAATCTCAGAGACCTCTGGGACAACACTAAACGCACCAACATTCAAATTATAGGGGTCCCAGAAGAAGAAGAAAAAAGGGTCTGAGAAAATATTTGAAGAGATTAAAGTGAAAAACTTCCCTAAAATGGGAAAGGAAATAGTCGCCCAAGTCCAGGAAGTAAAGAGAGTCCCATACAGGATAAACCCTAGGAGAAACACACCAAGACACATATTAATCAAACTAACAAAAATTAAATTCGAAGAAAAAATATTAAAAGCAGCAAGGGAAAAGCAAAAAATAACATACAAAGGAATCCCCATAAGGTTATCAGCTGATTTTTCAGCAGAAACTCTGCAGGCCAGAATAGATTGACAAGATATACTTAAAGTGATGAAAGAGAAAAACCTACAACCAAGATTACTCTACCCAGCAAGGGCCTCATTCAGATTTGATGGAGAAATCAAAAGCTTTTGAGACAAGCAAAACCTAAGAGAATTCAGCACTACCAAACCAGCTTTACAACAAATGCTAAAGAAACTTCTCTAGGTGGGAAACACAAGAGAAGAAAAAGACCCACAAAAACAATCCCAAAACAATTAAGAAAATGGTAATAGGAACATACATATCGATAATAACCTTGAATGTAAATGGATTAAATGCCACAACCAAAAGACACAGACTGGCTGAATGGATACAAAAACAAGACCCATATATATGCTGTCTACAAGAGACCCACTTCAGACCTAGGGATACATACAGACTGAAAGTGAAGGGATGGAAAAAGATACTCCATGCAAATGGAAATCAAAAGAAAGCTGGAGTAACAATACTTGTATCAGATTAAATAGACCTTAAAATAAAGACCTTACAAGAGGTAAGGAAGGACGCTATAAAATGTTCAAGGGATCAATCCAAGAAGAAGTTGTAACAATTGTAAATGTTTATGCACCCAACATAGGAGTACCTCAATACATAAGGCAAATGCTAACAACCATGAAAGGGGAAATCGACAGTAACCTAATAATAGTAGGGGACTTTAACACCCCACTTACACCAATGGACAGATCATCCAAACAGAAAATAAATAAGGAAACACAAGCTTTAAATGACACAATAGACCAGATAGATTTAATTGATATTTATAGAATATCCCACCTGAAAGTGGCAGAATACACTTTCTTCTCAAGTGCACATGGAACATTCTCCAGGATAGATCACATCTTGGGTCACAAATCAAGCCTCGGAAAATTTAAGAAAATTGAAATCGTATCAAGCATCTTTTCTGACAACAATGCTATGAGACTGGAAATCAATTACAGGAAGAAAACTGAAAAGAACACAAATACATGGAGGCTAAACAGTGCACTACTAAATAACCAAGAGATCACTGAAGAAATCAAAGAAGAAATTAAAAAATACGTAGAAACAAATGACAATGAAAGCACAATGACCCAAAACCTATGGGACGCAGCAAAAGCAGTTCTAAGAGGGAAGTTTATAGCAATTCAATCTCACCTCAGGAAACAAGAAAAATCTCAAATAAACAATCCAACCCTACACCTAAAGCAAGTAGAGAAAGAAGAACAAAGAAAACCCTAAGTCAGTGAAGGAAAGAAATAAAGATCAGAGCAGAAATAAATGAAAAAGAAATGAAGAAAACAATAACAAAGATGAATAAAACTAAAAGCTCGTTCTTTGAGAAGATAAACAAAATTGATAAACCCTTAGCCAGACTCGTCAGGAAGAAAAGGGAGAGGATGCAAATCAATAAAATTAGAAATGAAAAAGGAGAAATCACAACTGACACCACAGAAACACAAAGATTATAAGAGACTACTACAAACAACTATATGCCAGTAAAATGGACAACCACGAAGAAATGGACAAATTCTTGGAAAGGTACAATTTTCCAAGACTGAACCAGGAAGAATTAGGAAATATAAACAGACCTATCACAAGTAATGAAATTGAAACTGTAATTAAAAATCTTCCAACAAACAAAAGTCCCGGACCAGATGGCTTCACAGGCGAATTCTACCAAACATTTAGAGAAGAGCTAACACTGATCCTTCTCAAACTCTTCCAAAAAATTGCAGAGGGAGGAGCACTCCCAAATTCATTCTATGAAGTCACCATCACCCTGATACCAAAGCCAGAAAAAGATATCACAAAAAAAGAAAATTATAGACCGATATCACTGATGAACATAGATGCAAAAATCCTGAACAAAATACTAGCAAACAGAATCCAACAACGTATTAAAAGAATCATACACCATGGTCAAGTGGGATTTATCCCAGGGATGCAAGGATTCTTCAGTATATGCAAATCAATCAATGTGATACACCATATTAACAAATTAAGGAATAAAAACCATATGATCATCTCAATAGATGCAGAAAAAGCTTTCGACAAAATTCAACACCCATTTATGACAAAAACTCTCCAGAAAATGGGCATAGAGGGAACCTACCTCAACATGATAAAGGCCATATACGACAAACCCACAGCAAACATCACACTCAATGGTGAAAAACTGAAAGCATTTCCACTAAGATCAGGAACAAGACAAGGATGTACACTCTCGCCACTATTATTCAACATAGTTTTGGAGGTCCTAGCCATGGCAATCGGAGAAGAAAAAGAAATAAAAGGAATACAAATTGGAAAAGAAGAAGTAAAACTGTCACTGTTTTCAGATGACATGATACTATATATAGAGAATCCTAAAGATGCCACCAGAAAACTACTAGAACTAATCAATGAATTTGGTAAGCTTGCAGGATATAAAATTAATACACAGAAATCTCTGGCATTCCTGTACACTTACAACAAAAAATCAGAATGAGAAATTGAGGAAACAATCCCATTTACCATCACAACAAAAGAATAAAATGCCTAGGAATAAACCTACCTAAGGAGGTGAAAGACTTGTACTCAGAAAACTATAAAACACTGATGAAAGAAATCAAAGATGACATAAACAGATGGAGAAATATACCATGTTCTTGGATTGGAAGAATCAATATTGTGAAAATGATTATACTACCCAAAGCAATCTACAGATTCAAACGCAATCCCTATTGAGCTACCAATGACATTCTTCACAGAATTAGAACAAAAAATTTTACAACTCATGTTGTAAAAGACCCCAAATAGCCAAAGCAATCTTGAGAAAGAAAAATGGAGCTGGAGGAATCAGGCTCCCCAACTTCAAACTATACTACAAAGCTACAGTAATCGAGACAGTATGGTACTGGCACAAAAACAGAAATATAGATGAATGGAACAGGATAGAAAGCCCAGAGGTAGACCCATGCACATATGGTCACCTAATTTACAACAAAGGAGGCAAGAACATACAATGGAGAAAAGACAGCCTCTTCAATAAATGGTGCTGGGAAAACTGGACAGCTAAATGTAAAAGAATGAAATCAGAATACTACCTAACACCATACACAAAAATAAACTCCAAATGGAATAAAGACCTAAATGTAAGACGAGACACTATAAAACACTTAGAGCAAAACATAGGAAAAATACTCTTTGACATAAACCACGGCAAGATCTTTTTTGACCCTCCTCCTAGAGTAATGAAAATAAAAACAAAATAAACAAATGGGACCTAATGAAACTTAAAAGCTTTTTCACAACAAAGGAGACCATAAACAAGATGAAAAGACATCCCTCAGAATGGGAGAAAATACCTGCAAGTGAAACAACGGACAAAGGATTAATCTCCAAAATATACAAACAGCTCATGGTGCTCAATATAAAAAAATAATAATCCAGTAAAAAAATGGGCAGAAGAACTAAGTAGACATTTCATCAAAGAAGACATACAGATGGCCAAGAGGCACATGAAAAGATGCTCAACATCACTAATTATTAGAGAAATACAAATCAAAACTACAATGAGATATGACCTCACACTGGTCAGAATGGCCATTATCAAAAAATCTAGAAACAATAAATGCTGGATTGGGTGTGGTGAAAAAGGAACCCTCCTGCACTGTTGGTGGGAATGTAAATTGATGCAACCACTATGGAGAACAGTATGGAGGTTCCTTAAAAAACTAAAAATAGAACTATCATATGATCCAGCCATCCCACTACTGGGCATCTACCCTGAGAAAACCATAATT